CATCGTTAGTTCCTCAAGCAAATCTATAGAATAGAATTGCATTCAGTCACCTCTGCAAACATTCAGAAAAGGCAGAAAGGCGCTCAGAAGTTTGCCGTTATATACCCTGTGTGTAGCGAAACACAATTGGCCATGCAGTGTCAGACAATGACAGACGCCAACTATGTGCATCAGATATTCATTAAATGTTTGATAAGAGATGAAAAACTGAAGCATAAACCAACTTCTACTATTTCCAGCTCTTCATCTGTGTCTTTTTGCTTTATTTTTGCTAATTAATAGTTGGGTTTAGAATCATAATCTCATAAATAACTGAATTATTCACTTGAGTTCAAGACGACTTTTATAGAACAACCCTTGAACATCATATAGGAGCGCATATTTACATTTCACAACTAGCGCATTCAAGATTTTTCACACTACTCGCGTGTGAGATATTTTTATATTGTTTCAAAATCAAAATTTGTTTAATGTTTCCACACTTTCCTTTTCAGTATTTAATCTAGAGAAATCAGTTAATAGCAGCATAATTTTTATCATGATCAGTGCAAACATTTTATAGGCCAGAACTGCGTGTCTAGAAAGAATGAGGCTGGCAATCAAAGAAGTCGGTGCGGTCGATTTTGAGCTGGCTGTAGTCTTATAACTTTTCTCCCTTCAAAGGGCAAAAGAGATGATAACGTAATGGAGCATATCAGAGCTATACGGTGGATGTGATGCTGTGATCCAATTTTTCGAAAATCTGATGAATTGACTTTACAATGTACGGGATCGAGCGTTATCCTGGAGAAGGGCGACAACGAGTCGTTTCGGACGCTTATCTCGTACTGCCTGCTCGGCCAGCTTCCGCAGGTGATCCCCGTCACGGATGTCGACATTGATTGCCTGCTTGATGTCAGGCAGTTCCTAAAACACTGTGCCTTATCAATTCCAGACTGAAAATATAATTCTCCGCTCATGGAACCTAGGCTTTGATTGAGGTGGGGTCTTTACCGAGAGGAAGCCGTAGGTGTGGCGCGTATTGTTCTCTCTTGTCAGATCTAAAACTCATTTTCAAAGATTGTCGACTTGAGAAAGTCTTGTTTGTGCCGTTGCAGCAGAAACCATCCCAAATGGGTACTCGTGCAGCGCGGCCGTGGTCGGTCAATGCATGAGCTGTCCATCGACACATCATTTTGCTGTAGCCCACTTCATCTAGATGGAGAACGATAGTGCTACAGCCGTGTCCATGTGTCTGTGGTGTAATATGTCTGGCTAAAGCTACTAGAACATTCTCCAACATGTTACAACCTTTTGGCAGTGACCCAATTTCATAGAACAAAGTGAATAAAACAGAAGTGTGGAACAACATATGGGAATCAAAGACAACGTTAAGGTTTCGGAATTGATCAATCTGAGAAGTTTGTGTTCGGCATTCTTACTTTACTACTGTTGAAATCCATTGAAGCACTGAATTCTAATTCATTTTTCACATTAATTTATGAAATCCAGCAGATGTAAAGTGTGCGCTGTTCCACAGAGAAGTCCAGTTTAGCAAGCGCAAATGAATGGAGTTAGTATAGTCTAACTTGGTAGAACTATTTTTATTTCTCCATCAGTGCTTATTAATTGTGCTACCCTTTTCTGTACTGTACTACTTACCTATTGTGGTATTTATAACAAAATGTGGAAGTATTTCGAATAAGAATTTTAAAAAATGCTCAACAACGTTGTTTTTAAGATCTTATCAATTTTTTCCGTGGGTCTTATATGCCAATGTTAAATACATTTTCTCGCAAGATTTAAGGCTTTGCAAAGGAGTTGTGAGAGAGAAAAAAAGATGTTAATTTTGTATCATAATTTATTTACAAAGAATTCTTTTTTTCAATAGAGTTTCAAATACCCGGAAATGAACTTAGCTGTTAGGATATATTGTCGTTCTTGAAGTAGAAAATAACTGTAGGGTAGTGGCAGGGAACCTCGCAAGTTTCGTCGGTGTCGAATGATTGATAGGAAAACAAAAAATTGCCTCGTTTAACCCTTTCCTTTTGATTTTAAATTGGCAATTCTGTCGTCAACCAGCATTCTACGTTTTATAATATTTGAATATTTACAGATGTTGTACTGAACTGTTTCGAAAACCATCACCTAGATAAACTTTTTTTCTTTTTTATGGTCGTATTGATGTATAGAATACAATTTGCTTACTGGTGCACGTTCCACATTCAGCATAGTGATGAAATTAGGCACACGTAATCCTCAAACATGTAACTTCTTGTGGCAAGTAAAGTAATTATTCGCGAAAATAACTGTATCTCCTCTCCTTTCCATGTAGCTGTGATGTCCAATTGGAGGAAAATCAATCTCGTCAATACTCGTCAATACTTTTTCAACAGGTGGAGCTATAATTTTAGCCTTTTTATACTATAAATTTGTCACTATTCCTTCTTCCTAATCTGGTCTCATAATATGTTATATTTGCTATCTCCATTTACTTCTGCTGGAAGAGTGGTGACCACTAAATTCTATTAAGCTCATGTCGTCGTCGATACATCTAATAACTGAACCAACAGATCTTCCGGCTTCACTCTTTGACTGCGTCCACCTCCATTAGTGCTCCCAACCGATGATTTAGCGACAGAGCGTTCTCGTTATTTCTAAATAGACGTCAACCTCTTAAGAACGACATGTACATTGGTTGTGATTAGATCTCAAGAACAAAGATATGCTTATTCGCTGATAGTAGTATCCCTTTTAATGGCAGCCTAGCAACCTTTGTTCTATGAGTTTTTCATTGTGTTTTAGTATTTTAATTTCCAACAGATTTAGAATATTGTCTTGGATTTGATTAGTGATATCGGGAAGGAATGAGACAGAAGCGATCGTCTTTTAATACCCCAGCATCTCAACAAATTAGCCGCATGTCCGTGTTACACACTAATTCTAATTGCGTTTACGAGCATGTGTAGATGGCGATCCCATACGATGACGCCGTCAAAATGCATCGCCAACCGATCCGTTCGGATTTCACAGCAAGTTTCCGTTGACTCGTATTTGATCGTTGGTTGTTGTGCATACTTCTACATTTTATATCATTGCATTTTATATCCATCATATTAACTTAGTGATAAGTAACACGATGCTTCAAAGGATCTCGCATTAGTGTCAAATTTTTCTTCCACACCATCCGACATCACATATTATGCGAAATCAGTACCTCCTGCATTCGATACACCTCAGCGCATCTATATTCCATGGAGATCTTAACATTTCAGCGACTGATTGCTACTCTGAGATCCAGAGTTTTCGTTATGAATGCTGGTACGGTCAGCTTTACTTTAAATCCTAAAATAGTCGCAGTTGGGCGTTCCTCCGTCTCTATCACTGGCAATATTGTTCTTGACGGATTGAAGAAAGTCACTTGATCTTTGACTAATCTTGCACCGATTTTTCTGACTGTGATGGGAGAGTTAAAGATCGCCGGTCGATATCGGATCACTGCTCAGCCCGTTCTGTACACCATAATTACCACTGCGGCTCTAGTCTTCTACTTCAGGACTTTCTAATTGCCCCCACTTTATTACCCTTCTTAAGGAGACGCCGTGGCTGAGTGATGTGATTTCCGTTGCCGCGCGTGCAGAGCCGAACCCCACCTCAACTCTCTCCGGCAGTGAAGAACGAACGCCTTATAAAACGCCACAGCCAAGCCTTTCCTGAGATTGCAAAGAGCGCGCTCAACATTCTATGACGTTCGAGAGAATGTCGAAAAAACGAACTGCATGGTAGAAGAGTTATGGGATTCGCACTGTGAAGAAAACACACTGTGAAGACGGATCAAGTAATACAGAAAAGTAAAATGAAAATCTCACAGTTTTTTACCCTGTGTATCACAGCTCTCCTAACATCCTATTTGTTTTTCCCTATTCTTTTGATAGCGTAAAATACTGGTAAAGCACAACTCTTTGCAGTCTCGAGGTGAACACCTCGCTCCATAGGGCATTCGTTGTTCACTGCCTGAGGGTTGTTGTGAGGTGCGGATCAGCCCCGCTGCAAGACAAACGTTACAACCATTCGGTCACAGCTCTCCGTTTAATTACTATAGAAACGAAATCATCGTTATAAACCGTTTCTTCTAATTCCTTTTCTAAATCGTTTCAGCGAATGATAACTAGCCTATTGGTTTATTTGCAATTATTCGTCAAGCTATCGTATGTTATGTAAGCCTTTTTGAGTTCTCACTTAGTTCTTAACACTCAAAAATTATAAGGTGAAACGTTTAGGAGGAAGCAACAGCTTCATTCCTGCTACAAATGACATTATTCAATGTTGTTCTATCAAACTGACCACTTGCTGGATATAAAATTCCCTTCAGTGATGGAAAAATCTAAATTTATGTAGAAAACTGCCACATTATGATTGTAGCTCTCGCTCAGTTAACCAAATGGTCGCTCAAGGTTATCATTATGAATTCCATTCCTGATCTTGAGCGGCAAATCTCACTAAATTACCCAGATAATCACTACGTTGGAGTCCTGAAAAACGTTGCAAGCAGCTCAAATAGTCTATAATTGTATTATTTTGTAGATTTCGATGTATTATAGTTACTTAGGTCCTGATAAAAAGGGTTTGTTGGTAGGTAGTATAATTACATATTCAATTTCACCAAACTAGATCATTCTGATAACATGGAAACATGTTTTGAGCCTGTTATGAGGTCTATTAAGAGGAGACTGTGCTACTGAGGAGTCCGGAAGGACGAAACAAGCGCCTGTTTAGCACTGTATAAGTGCCCTTATCAGTCCTCATAGCAGGCTTAAACAAGTTATCATGCTATCAGATTATCACTGTTTTAAGCGAGGTCTACATAAACGGTCAAGGGTGGAGTATAACTTGATCAGTTCATCTTTCGAAGTATCCTTGTTATAACTAATATTCGAAATTTTTAGTACTTATACTATATTTTTTTAGTGTTATCATCATTCATATGTTTGCTAAGAAAATTGAGTGGTGAGCAAAAACACGGCCTCAGCCAGGAATCGAATCCGCATTTCATCCTGTCCGGCGACGCGTGCTCTACCACTACACCACCGAGGCACGTTTGCGCCACCACTCCTTCAACATTTTTATGTTAACTATCAGCCACCACCTTCAACAGATTGGTCGGATATGCGATTTCGCTTTATAAACTCAGTTGAGCTGACAGCCATTGTAATAACTAATATTCGGAGTTTCTAGTATTTCTTCTATTCTATTAGGAATATCCTTGTTATTATAAATATAAAGTTAAATACAAATAGAAACTTGGTCCACCCTATCCAGCGATACCGATAAAAATATCATTTTTTTTCGACGTACCTTTTGTGTTCCTCTAGTTCGTCTTGATAAATCGTGCAAAAAATTGAGGAGAAAACTTTGTGATGTGGAATTTTCAGAACGGTTTGTTTAAAATTGTTAATAGGACTGATGCCTCCTCTAATTGTTTACCTTGCAGATATTCACTATTCTTTGAACTATAGAGAAATATTTGTTGAAAAAACAACTAGAAGCAATACTAATTCTCATATTTTTTTCCGATATTTATATTAGATTCCCAAACGCTCTCAAGTTTTATTTAGATCTGTAAATCAAGCTCAAAGTTTGGCGCTAGTGGCGCAGTGGCTAGAGGTGCTCTGCTTCGCACACAAGGTCAATTACTCAACCTCGCGTTCATGGCTCACCAAGCTGTCCACCTCTGCCTCCCCGCCTCCCGGAATCGGTAAATTGGTAGCAGACTTGGATAAGCAGCACTGAATCGATACCGGTAGGCCACAGCGAGTCATTTTGAAGGCCAGATAAGCATTCAATCGCCTCAAACGAAGCTAAAAATCTAAGAAGCATGCGCGGTGCATCACCCAGTAATTGATGCTGAGAGCTCTGTCCTTCTATATCTTCTTTCGAAAACTTGACAGCGTTCTCTGTAAACTACGACAGCTGAAACTCCAAAAACTGCTTGAATTCTGATTTAGTCGTCATCGGAGTCGGGGAAATTTTTTCGGGTTGGACGAATTTTCCGCATAACTATGGAAGTATGTCGCAGTGCACATTTTCTCCAATTACTACCCTAACTTACACTCGTGTTAAAAACGTTGCGTTAATGAGACAAACACGCGGGTTTAAGCTTGTCAATCCCTTTCAGACACAGCAGGAACTACCTAGCGAAGCTGATTTACATCGATTGTGATTTCCTTCTTCACTCGGCAGAATTTCACCTACTAGCCTTGCCATATGTCTCTTCTAGTATACATCGAAACTCGTCGTTGACTGCGGAGGTTCAGACTCACTTTTTTAGAAGTGTGTGTCATCAATAGTTAGGAGTCGTTAACAGCCTAATACGGTGGAGTTATGGAGGACACCCTTCACTTAGTCCAATGTTGATGTTACGGCGAAAACGAGCATGCTGTTGTCAAGAATGTATGCATTTTATGCGAGCACTTAATTAAAATAAATGATATTCTTCTCCAAATTCCACATCGATTTTCCGCTATCTAAATTTCATTTCCCTTTTTTATGTCATTTTCAACGTTCTATTGAAGCTTAAGGGTTTCTTGTTATAGTCATCTTCTCTACGAATTAGTGTTTTAGAAGTTCAAATCTAACTAAGGCATTTTCGTTATGATATATGAGCGAATGTAGGATCGGAACTGAGTCTATACGGAACTACGAGAAACATTGAGTAAAAAGTACTCAGAATGCAACAACGAGGATTCGCTTTTTTTTCCAACAGGTTTTGGGCGAGAGCATTCTCTATTTCTGAATAGGGATTGTGAAGAATTGTCCAAGAGGCATTCTCTGCTTTTGTTGACTCGGCGAAAAAGTGTGGAAGAGGTCGCTCAGTGCACGACAGAATTCTGTAATTGCTAATCATAGAACAGACTGCTTTTGGGTTATGTTGTGCTTCTTTTATGAGATCTCTAATGTTTGAAATGCATTCAGTCAGTGTCTGAAATCATGCGCGGATTATCTCCTATTGACTCTAACACTACCATTCAGTGTCCACTTACTGTAGGTTTTTTTCTGCTAACGACCATAAAAATGAAACTTTACGTAAAACCCAACAGTTTTGGATTGAAAGCTCTTGATATTCATAGTAAAATTGTCATATCCCTTTCTGGACGGCGCTCATTTTCGGCTGGCGGGCGGTTCGGACGGCTGAGAAGAGAGGCTGCCGGCGCGTGCTCCAGTGCTATTGTGGTAGTAGTTATGATGAATTGATATTTTTTTTTGCAAATGGATGGGATTCAATAGTTAGTAAATGATGAAATGTGGTAGAGCGAACTTCACTAAGTATTATTTTTTGTAGAAACAACGTAGAATGCTTCTTTTGTCGCACCGCATAGTTAAAGAGAAAAACCAAGTATTTACGGAAGGCTATTATCTAAAACCTTCATGTGATTATTTCTATGTCCAACTAGCTTTGTGCTCATTCGGCATTTGAATATTATCTCTTGATCTTTCCAGTTTTCATATGCTCTTATGGATATAGTATGTACAAAAGTCGTCCAAGAGACTGAAAATTAGAAAACAATGAATGGTCGATCAAAAATGGTGCCGCTCACTTGCATTTCATCCCACTTCATCGACAACGCTTAATGAAATTTTGATCATTAGCGTACTTCAGAAATTAAAAATTATGGACAAAAAACTTCACTTTTCACAAGCTCTACGTAGTTCTTTGAATCCATTGTCAGCTTTGTGATATTCTGTGCCCTCGTGCAGTTCCCACTTTCAGAGAACTTAGGTGAGAATACCTAGTTGCGGCTATCCATCAGTACACCGGAGTCCTCTTAGTTAGCCACCTGTCCGCGTAGCATTTCATCCTCAACTAATATTATTATGAGTCATTCCTTTCTGGTACGCGTACATCGATGCATGGTTTCCGGGTATGGTGACGTAAACAGTCAACTGCAAGGAGATTCGACTAATATCGGTACAGTGGATGCTGTTCGAGATATGTGATGTCGCCCAACATCCCTTCCTCCTCCTTTCAGCGAGCTAGGCGCTGGTTTTCAAAGCAACGTCCTACACTACTGCTGCAAACCAGCACCTTTCTACAAGCTGCGGAATTGATTGTGAGGCAGATGAACATCTAGGGCCAGTAGAAAAAAAATACGACGATTAATGAGAGCAAGAAAGTCATTCGCTTTAGACTTTAGCATGAGTAGCGATGCCATTGCTCGAAATGAATATATTACTGGAGCAACGAGCCATAGGACCCCTTGCACATGATGCGCTTGCTGCCATTCGTCAATAGAACTCATAAGGATGTTCATAAGCGAGAAAGAAAATTGTACACATTGAAGTTGATGGCACGATTCGAATAAAAAATCAGTACCAGTTTTTATCCTTTAACGGAACACATATGAAACAAAGCTGTTTGAGGTCTGCACTGAAAGAGGTCACAGCCAAGGAACGATGACTTACACCGGCGCGTAAGAGCATGCTAGAGCAAGCGGGCGTTTCGCAGACCGTGCTATGATGTGGCTATGATGAGCTAATGGGCGACCTGCGCTAGATAAAGGAAGACATTTCTTTGCAGATAACTATTATACTAATATTCGCCTAGCAAGACTATTACAAAAAGACACTTACTTGGTGGGGACCTATAGAAAGAGGACAAAGGCTTGTCAAAGAAAAAACTCGCTCAAGAGAATTTGCACAAGGATGACGGAGAAAGATACAAAAGCAGAGTAGCATGAAAGTGCTTACGTGGATGGATAAGAAAAATTCAGAATGGTTCTGAACAGAACACTGCTCTACCATCAAATCACAGACGGGAGTTCCAGAAATCGCGATTTATATGCTTGGTCGAAGCTTAGCGAACCTAGTGTAACTACTCTCGGAAAATTGAACCCAAACAAAATTAATGGACTTATACGACAACTATTCAAAATTCGAGCTCTTCCTTAGCCACATTTTCAGCGGCGTCCCTGAAAGGAACCAACCTTATCACGGCGGCGGAGACGTTGTAACGGAATGCTACCGAAAGTGCGCAAAGGTTGATCATCGTATTGTATATTGAGAAGATAAGAGAAGTGTTCGAACAACACAACTGAAAATATACTCCTATCCGCAAGGATATGGCTTTTCCATTGAAAAAAAGGCAAGATTTTGGAAAGTATTAACGTGAGTCTTGCTAAAATCAGTTGTGTAAAAATTTCATCAGCGACATTTTATCATTTACAAATGACAATATTTCTTTGAGAAGTTGATATACCCTAATTTTCATTGGGGCACGACACACTCTGCCCAGCTAAGGGTCATAATGACCCTCATAGTCCGCAAAGGGATATGTTACCAAGTGTAAATTGCTCACGATACAATTGAAAATGAAGGAGAGTGAAAGCTTAAGCTCGAGAAGATTACAATCTATGGTTGAATGTTCACGGCTCTTTCGCTGCTATTTAATGGCTCGTTCCTGATGGGAATTTCGATGTAAACGACAGGGTAAGAGCTATTCCAAGCCGTTTTTGTGATAATCAGTATAGCTTAGAAAAGGGCGCATTCACTGTTATTCTTTATGGAAGTTTTCTTCCTTGACTCTCCACTCTAGTAAAATCTGAGGTAATAAGAAAGTGTTATCGTTTTTCACTTAGTGTTACAATTGATCTTAGATGCAAAATTACTCCAACAAAATGTGCTTAAATGTTCACCATCTTGTAATCTGCGCTCGAGTATCTGGGGTGGAAATTCAATGTCATAAGCAATGTAGTTTCAAAGTTTGGTAAAAGGATAAGGGCGGTTTAGAGAGTTTGCGAGTGCACTGGATAGGGATGAAGGGGAAGGAATAATGCTCGGTTTTTACGCACCTTCAGGCGGCAGGTAGAGCTCGTAATTCTGGCTTCCATCGATTGTTGAAGTTGGTGGACACTACGCTTGCATGATATCCAAGATTAAGGGGGCTGGACATGCAATCGATCACAAGAATTACAGCAAAGAGTAAAGAGCAACAAATTAGACGCGAGTAAATCTGATGATGATTTGTTCCAGTCCTCTTAACTAGTAGAATTTGTGTGACAAGTCCAAATAAGACAATAACAAGTCAGAGTGTTGGCACT